TCTGCCCTTACCAGTCCATCCCCACACGCAGCCAGGGGATTCTGTTGAAACCTAAATCGGAGCCTATCCCTCCTCTGCTCAGAACTCTTTGTGGCTCCCGCTCACCCAGAGTAAGAGCCAGTCTTTCCGATGGCCCACCAAACCCTGTGTGATATGGCCCCCACTATTTCTATGAGATAACTTCCTGCCACTCTCCCTATACTCTACCCTACCCACAGCAACTACATGGGCGAGACATGCTCCTACCTCAGGGCCTTTGCACTTGCCATTCCCCCTGCCTGGCACACTCTCCCCATAGCTACCTACACAGCCCACTCCCTCACCAATTCATGTTTTTGCTTAAATGTCATCTCAACGAGGCCTCTCTTGAACTAACGTTAAAATCAAATCCTCCAGCACTTGCCTCCTCTGCTGTATTTTTCTCCATGGTGCTTACCAGAGTGTAACACAATGTATACTTTCCTTATTAATCTTATTTATTGTTTGTCTTCCCCAAGGGGAGTGTCAACTCCATGAGAACAGGAATGGCTTCTGTCTTGTTCGTGAGTATGTCTCTAGGCAGGAGCCACAGTAGGTGCCAAAAAGTATTTGCTGAATCACTAAGTGAAAGTGAGCACCTTTGGACTATTTGTTGGACGTTTGTATTTCTTTATTTTTTTTCTGTACTGATTTTTAGAGAGAGAAGAAAAGAGAGGGAGAGATAGAAACATCCATGATTGGCCACCTCCTGCATGCCCCCCACTGGGGATTTGTCCTGGGCATGTGTCCTGACCTCTTGGTGCATGGGTCGACACTCAACCACTGAGCCACACCGGCTGGCCATTTTTATTTCTTTCAATGGCTTGCTCATGTCCTGTGAGAATCTATCATATTCACAGTGCTGTCCTCTGTATCCCAGAGCAAGGTCCCTAGTAACTGGTTCTCATTCAAAAACATTGTCACTCCTGCCTTCCCAGAGCCTGCCACGTGGTGGCAGCATATGTTCAGGCATGTTTTGCAAGCCAGCCCTGAGCGTTGCCCAGGACACTGACACCCAGTCTTCAGGGATTCAGTCCCAGGCCCATTAGGCAGAGAGAGGGGGAAAGTGAGACCGCAAAGAGGAGGCCTGGTGGGGAAAGTCTCGGACGTTGGAATGGGGGGGGGGTGCGGTCAGGCTTTTAAGTCGGCTCTTCTACCAGTTCACTGCGATCTTGGGGGACGTCTTAACCCTCTCTGGGCCTGTTTCCCATCTGCCTGCTTTGTGAGGGGTTTGTGACTTGCCTTCTGCGGGGTTCGGGGGAGGTCTGATTCACTCCCACGTGCCAGTCGGGCCCGTGTAAGGGGCTGAGGTCTAGAGGGGACACAAGAGCGCCGCGATCAGGAGGCTACAGAGCCAGGACAAATGTCCAACCCCTGCAGCCCCTCCACTCTAAACACAATCTCCACCGACCATCTCGGATGGACCCCCTTTCCGCCTTATTTTTCTGCCCGCTGGCTGATTTCTAAGCCCCTCTTTATCACTTTGTGTCAAAGCAGCAAAGTGGGACTTCCTTTGGGCAGGTCACCTCGCTTTTCTCCTCCTGGAAATGGGGCGAAGGCAAAGGACTTCTGAAAGCAGTTTTGGGGCAGAGGAGGGAGTGCATCTGGGTCCGCTCCCTCCACAACGCCCTCCTGGCTCCTGCCCACCACTTGCAGCCATGTGGGCCCAGCCCACAGCTTTTGGTTTCAAAAGAGAAGCTAGAAATTGGAAGTTTGATGTGAAATCTCCTGATTTTTAAATGTTGGCAATACATTCACCGAAAGAAATAACAAAACAAAGCAAAAATACCACGGGGTCAAACTGAACACATCTGTGGCTTGGATTTGGCCACTGGCTGCCAGTTTGAGACCCTTCCCAATCTAGGTCCCTACAAACACCTTGGAAGGGTGTAACTGGGAGAGGTCACTGTGGGTGGTGTCAGATGGATCCTGGTTTCTGTGTTCTCGCTGCCCACAGGGCCAGCGGGGGGAGCCCCGGACCTCTGGGTCACACGGGTTCAGTTGCCATCAGCCCCCTCCCCAGGAAAGGCTGGGTGTCAATGGGAGGCAGCAGGCAGGGCCTGTTGAGCAATGAGCCTTGTAAAAACAAGGGCTTACGTCACCTGAGCAGGCACGGAGCCTCCTTGCAGGACACCTGGGGGGCACTGAGGTGGCAACTGGCACCGACTTTACTTTCAGGCCAGAATGGGGAATCCTGGGCAGGGAAGGGGAGAAAGCAAAGGCTCAGTACTTGTGGAGTACAGTTACATCTGAGGCCAGCAGGGCAAGATGAGATGGGGCCGGTCCCCAGGGTCTGTGTTGCCTCTTGACTAACTGTGTGACCCCATGCCAGCTTTCTCTGGGCCTCAGTGTTTCCCCTCAGTAAATGGGGTTCACATCACCAGACCTATTATGATTTATTACAAACCCAAAAGGGAAGGTCAGGCTGGAAATACTTGAATCTTTCCCACCCCTTTAATGTGACCTTGAGCAGACACACTTAGCTCTGCTGGGCCTCAGTTTCTTTGTTTGTAAGGTGGGTATAATCACAAGACCCGATTCCTACAAGTAAGCAAAAGGATTAAAAGAATACACACAAAGAGCTTAAAATGTGGTTCAAATAGGGTACACAGGAAATCCTCCAATTAGCTTTAGATGACCCCTATCCCCCAGGTCTCACTGCATCTCCCCAGAACTCTGAGAGTTGGGAGAGGGGTGCTGAGGCTCAGAGAGGGGAACCATTTTATCTGAGGTCACACAGCCCAGCTAACCAGGGACCTCACCTTCTCCAGCCATTGAGCATCTCCTGTGTGCTGGAAGGCCCTGGGGGACAGCGGTGAACGAAGGAAAACCCCTGCCCTGGCGGGGCTGACATGGGGGGGAGACAGCAGGGACAGAAAACAAGACGAGCAGGTGTGAAGTAATTTTGATAGTAGTGAGAAAGGTAAAGGGACTAAAGCCGGGGCACGTGAAAGGAGTGACGGACAGCCTGGGACTTTCAATGGGGAGGTCAGGGAGGGCTTCTTTGAGGAGGTGACCTTTGAACTGAACCTGGGCAGAGCTGGGGAAACAGGGTTCTTGGTCCAGAGGGTGACAGCAAATGAATTCATTCGCTGGTAAATTTTGGGCTTGTCTGGCCCAGGTGTTCCAGTATTGGGGGGAGAGCCCTCACAGAGCAAGCAGTCTGGGTGGAGACTGAGGCAGACAAGACAAGCAGGATAATGGTAGCTGGAGATCTGGGCTGCAAGGGAAGTCACCAGCAGGTGGAGCAGGGAGGGCCTGTTGGAGGCGGTGGCCACAAGCTCAGCCCCAAGTACCCTACATGTATCTAGGGCCTAGTGGCCCCAGGGCCTTGGATCCTTCCTTGGCGCTGGGAAGGCCCAGAAAGCCAGCAAGCTGGGTCAGTGTTTCATCCCATCCCTCTGTGCCCTCCACCCCCCAAGGGCACTTGGAGAGGTCATTTCTCTAGCTCGCCAGGGCAGAGGTCACTCCCTGCTCAGCAGATAAAGCTGAAGGTTGAGCAATGCCTGCTTGCCCGCCAGGGCTGGGGTCAGTGGGCCGGGGGTCAGCCCCAGGCAGGCTGGTAGCTCTTGCCTGGGCCTGAGTGACAGAGGGGTGGGTCCAAGGAGCTGCTCAAATGGCCCAGGAATGGAGCTGGAGAGGGCAAGGGACTGCTGGAGCCCACTCAGCAGGGAGGGCCTCAGACACCTTTCAATCCAGGCTTGGCCATGTGTTTGCCCAGCTGTGAACCAGGAGCAGCCAAAGCCTCTCCTGGCAGGATGAAGAAGTGAACCCTGGGTCCAGGCCCACCTGCAGTGCATGGTAGGGACTTGGTAAATATGGGGAGAAGTTTCTTTTCTCTCCTGCATGACCCCCAAGGGACCTGGCTTGACTCCCCTCCCCACCAGCCTCAGAAACAGGTTTTGTGGCCTCGGGTTGGCAAATAGGTCTCAGGGCGCCCAGATAAGGGCTTTTCTTTTGAGGCTAATGGGGGACATGAAGCCATGTGACCTTGAGTGTGCTAGCCCCCCTCTGGACCGCCTTGTATCCGCTGGGAGAGGCCTTTCTTGATGATGTGCCTCCCAGAATGGATTTAAGCTAAGCCTTATATTTGGGCATCTGTGGTGGAGACAGTAATACAACTAATAACAGTAACAACACCTTAATGGAACCTCAGAAGTGAAGTGACTTGCCCAAGGTCACATAATGTGGTAGAGCCAAGCACCCTGTCCCTTTCTACCTTCTTGGGGGCCCAGGTCAGGTTGGGGTGGGGCTGGAGAAGAGCCAGGTGTGGTCTGAGGCGGCAGGCAGGTGTGGTGGGTGGAGCTCGGGGAGGGGCGTGGCCGACCCCCGCAGAGGCCCAGTGGAGCACGCCCCTGACCTGCCCCCCTACCACCCGTATTGGAGGTGGCTTTAAGCTGGGAGTCGCCACAGAAGTGGGAATCCCCTTCTTCCAAGAGCTGGGGATGGGGGCAAGTTTAGGGACGGAGCCACGTCCGGGGAATGGCAGCGCAGCTCGAAGCTGAGGTCTCCAGGATCCCGCCTGGGAAGTACCCACTCTGTGGGGCATCGGGGCTGGGCGCCGCGGACCCTAAAGCCACCGCCTTCTCCAGCAGGGGGCGGGCCGCCGCCGTGTTTCGGGTGGGGTAAGGCGATAGCATTGCCCCCTCCCCGGATTCCCTCCCACTTTCAGTATAGCCTCCGAGCCCAGAGGGGGCGGTCCGGGGGCGGGGTCGCACCTCCCCTTCTCGCTCCCAATCCCGGGGCAGCCGGGTGGGAGTGGGCAGGGGGCGTTAGGCCGGCCCCCGGGGCCAGGGGACCCCCGAGGGTGCGCTCATGGTTTTCGTCAGGCCGCCGACCTCTCGGGGGTCTCAGGGGGCCACAGTGTGGCCATGTCCCGCCGGCTGCGGGAGGGGCCGGGGCGGCCGCCAGGCGTGACGCACCGTTGCCATGCGCCGCCTTATAAATAACCGGGCTCAGGAGAAACTTTAGCGAGTCAGAGCCGCGCACGGGACCGGGAAGGGGACCTAGCCAAGGGCCCAGCAGCCAGCCCCCGCACTAGTAGCGGCCACTCCGGCGGCGGCGGCAGCAGCAGCAGCAGCAGCAGCAGCAGCAGCAGCAGCAGCAATAGCAGTAGCAGAAGCAGCGACACAGCGGCAACAGTTTGCAGCGAGGAGGCCGCGCCACCTGCGGGCCGGCCGGAGCGGGCAGCCCCCAGCCCCCTCCCCGGGCACCCGCGTTCATGCAACGCCTGGTGGCCTGGGACCCAGCATGTCTCCCCCTGCCGCCGCCATCTGCCTTTAAATCCATGGAAGTGGCCAACTTCTACTACGAGGCGGACTGCTTGGCTGCTGCTTACGGTGGCAAGGCGGCCTCCGCGGCGCCCCCCGCGGCCAGACTCGGGCCGCGCCCCCCCGCCGGCGAGCTGGGTAGCATCGGCGACCACGAGCGCGCCATCGACTTCAGCCCGTACCTGGAGCCGCTGGGCGCGCCGCAGGCCCCGGCGCCGGCCACAGCCACGGACACCTTCGAGGCGGCTCCTCCCGCGCCCGCCCCCGCGCCCGCCTCCTCCGGGCAGCACCACGACTTCCTCTCCGACCTCTTCTCCGACGACTACGGGGGCAAGAACTGCAAGAAGGCGGCCGAGTACGGATACGTGAGCCTGGGGCGCCTGGGGGCCGCCAAGGGCGCGCTGCACCCCGGCTGCTTCGCGCCCCTGCACCCGCCGCCGCCGCCGCCGCCGCCGCAGCCCGCCGAGCTCAAGGCGGAGCCGGGCTTCGAGCCCGCGGACTGCAAGCGGAAGGAGGAGGCCGGAGCGCCGGGTGGCGGCGGCGCAGGCATGGCGGCCGGCTTCCCGTACGCGCTCCGCGCCTACCTCGGCTACCAGGCGGTGCCGAGCGGCAGCAGCGGGAGCCTGTCCACGTCCTCGTCGTCCAGCCCGCCCGGCACGCCGAGCCCCGCCGACGCCAAGGCGCCCCCGGCCGCCTGCTACGCGGGGGCGGCGCCGGCACCCTCGCAGGTCAAGAGCAAAGCCAAGAAGACCGTGGACAAGCACAGCGACGAGTACAAGATCCGGCGCGAGCGCAACAACATCGCGGTGCGCAAGAGCCGCGACAAGGCCAAGATGCGCAACCTGGAGACGCAGCACAAGGTCCTGGAGCTCACGGCCGAGAACGAGCGGCTTCAGAAGAAGGTGGAGCAGCTGTCTCGCGAGCTCAGTACCCTGCGGAACTTGTTCAAGCAGCTGCCCGAGCCCTTGCTCGCCTCCTCCGGTCACTGCTAGCGCGGCCCCCGCGCGCGTCCCCCTGTCGGCCGGCCTCCGCGCTGCCGGGCGCGCGGCGGCCGAGACTCCGGGAAGCGCCCGCGCTCCCGCTCCCGCTCCCGCCCCCGCCCCTGGTGGCGCCGGCAAAACTTTGGCACTGGGGCACTTGGCAGCGCGGGGAGCTCGTCGGTAATTTTAATATTTTATTATATATATATATATATCTATATTTTTGTCCAAACCAACCGCACATGCAGATGGGGCGCCCGCCCGTGGTATTTAAAGAAGAAATGTCCTGTGTGTACAGATGAATGATAAACTCTCTGGCTCTCCCTCTGCCCCATCTTCAGGCGCCGGCGGGAGGGCCGGTTTCGAAGTTGATGCAATCGGCTTAAACATGGCTGAACGCGTGTGTACACGGGACTGACGCAACCCACGTGTAACTGTCAGCCGGGCCCTGAGTAATCGCTTAAAGATGTTCTACCGGCTTGTTGCTGTTGATGTTGTTTTTGTTGTTGTTTTTTTGGTCTTTTGTTTTTTTTTTTGTATTATAAAAAATAATCTATTTCTATGAGAAAAGAGGCGTCTGTATATTTGGGAATCTTTTCCGTTTCAAGCATTAAGACAACTTTTAATAAACTTTTTTTTTTTGGAGGATGGTTAAAAAGCCTTTTGGGGGCAGTAGTTGGCTTTTGCTTTTTTCCTTTATTTTGGATTTCTGTGGTTTTATTTTTGCTTTTCTGGTGTCGGGGGTTGTTGTGCGTGGGGGCTGCTAATATTTTTGGCTTTTTTTGGCGGTTGGGTAGGGTGTTGCAGCTGGTTTGTCTCCTCTGCTACTCCCCCTCCCCCAGGGCCTGTGCTTGGAGATGGGGGTACCAGAACTGGGTGGGGAGGAGCAGAAGAGTGCTTGGTCAGGCTTTCAGGGTGACTCAGGGCCCCTGGGTGCGGGGGAGGAGTGACTGAGAACCCTGCTTGAGGAGGGGTCCAGGGTCTCTGGCAGTCCTGAGTGCTAGGCTTGGGTTTGGAGGGACGTAGAGGTCTGTGACCCCTGCACAGTGTTCAGGGCCTTGTGATTGCTGGAGGAGGGGGTACAGGGCTGGAGGAGTTGGGGCAGATTCTTTTAGTAAGTGTAGTGGGTTGGGCTGTTTAAAAAATACTTTGTGTCTATATGTTTTAAGAGAGGAGCCTGGGTATGTGGGCGATCTTGTGTTTGTGTGTCCCTGGCCAGTTTGGATGTCCCTGCCTTGGAGGGGAGAAGCCCAGCCGGATGGAGAGAGGTGGGGGAAGGGTTCCTGCACTTTCACTCCCTTTCCTGGGAATGGGAGATTTACCACTGCCCTTCGTACCCAGATGTGGACCGAGGCCCAGCCTCACCTGCTTGTTTCAAGGTGGCTGAGTCTAGATTTGAACTTGGGGACCCTGTTCCCAATTCCCTGGGACAGAAACAGCCCTGGCAAGGCTTCTGCGTGTCTGCCCCCGATAGGCTCCCGCCTCTTTTCACTGTACCCACACCCCCATTCCAGCCCTGGACAGCATTCCTGAGAGTTGAGGATGTAGACAGAGGGGTTAGTGGATACACGTACCGCGTCCTGCGGTGCCTGGCACGCAGGAGGTGTTATATAAGCCTTTGCTCTTGTTATTATTTTTCGCTGGGAGGCTCTTGGCATTTGGCACCCCAGTCTGCAGTGCACTGTGAGTGTGGCGAGGGCTTGCCAGGGGCCAGCGTCCGGTAAACCCTGGACTTACTCATTCCATTTAAACTTCACAACAACCTTTGGAGAGGTGGGTACTATTATGAGGCCCGTTTTTAGAGCAGTTTTTGGCTATCAGATCCCTATGGGCAAGAAACTGGTTCGGGGTCCCCCTGCCTTAGGAATTCAGCAGTGGGGAAGTGAAAGGGAGTTCATGGATTATTTGGCCAAAGGCTTGGGGCACCCTGGGATTTTGAGAGCAGCTGTTGATAACTGTGGTTTGAGAATGGGGAATGCTTTTTCCCTCTCTTTCCCTTTGGGGGCCTGGAGGTGCTCTCCCTGTGGGAGCCTGGGATGTGGGGCACAGACACATGCAGCCCCATCATTATGGAGCTGAGGATCAAGGCAGTTTCTATCTCCCCAGTGCTAGAATCTCTCTGGGAGTGCTGGACAGAGATAACCTTACTCCAGCCCTGGGCCTGCAGTGTGGCTCTAAACAGGTCTCCTCCCTGCCCTGGGTGGCCGGGTGACGGCCAGGACGCTGGAGTCTCCAAGTCAGCCCAATACCAACAGCAGCACATCTGCTCAACTACCTGTAGGATTTACCTGCTGCAGCGCATAGGCCAGGCCTAACAGACTAGGTAGGGAAGGAGGCGGCTCAGTTTTTGGAGGGGGTGAGGGTCACAATTTGGGAATGAGTCTCTCCAGTCTCTGCTCTCCCCTTTGTCACTGAGAGGGGAGAGTGGCTGCTGCTGGTGGCTGCTGCTCACCCATTTTGCAGAGGACGCAAAGGAGGTGAGAGGGGAGCAGCGTGCTCGGCAGTGACACCCGGCCCCCCTTCCCTGAGCCGTCTTGCAGCCAGCCTGGAGCGCAGCTCTTCGCTTGCGTACACCTGCTCGAATCTACAGAACACCCGCGGAAGGTATTACACACATTTCGCAAAAGTCCGCCGAGGCCCACAGAAGGGGTGTTGGCACTCAAGGTGGAACGGGGTGGAGCCAGTTACACGATCCCAGTCTCTGGGGAAAGCTTGGGCTGGAGACCCTGGCTTGTAATCCCAGCCCCCTGCCCTAAATCCTGAGCCCCCCTGGAGGGCTCCTTGCCTAACCTCAATTTCAGGCACCCCGAGCACCATAGTTAAGTGACTTGCACATGGTTTCACACTTTGGAGACAACAGAAAGGGGATTTAAACCTGAGCCCATCTGACTGCACCTGAAGAGGGCTGGGAAAAATAGTTAACAGGTGGAGGGCTCTGATGGGCTGGGTTGTCTGATGTGGGAGTATGGTGGGCAGAGCTGTGCCCAAAGGACTTCGGGAAATGTCATAGACAGGATACCCACCCTGTGCATCACTGGGCTAGGAGGGCTAAAGGCTTGCAGGGAGGAGGGACCACCGGTTCATTCAAAAGTCAGGAAACAAGAAAGAGTAGGGCTCTGGCCGGTGTGGCTTGGTGGGTTGTAGCATCGTCCTGTACACTGAAAGGTGGCAGGTTCGATTCCTGGTCAGGACACATACCCAGGTTTCAGGTTCAGTCCCTAGTCAGGATGCATGTGGGAGGCAACCAACTGATGTTTCTCACATTGATGTTTCTCTCTCTCTCTCTCTCTCAAATCAATAAAAATAAAAAAGAAAGTAGAATGGGGTGAAGCTTAAGGGGAGCCCAGGAGGCCAGGGATGTGTTAGGAATCATAGTGGAAGTGAGTTCAGTGCTCAGAGTGTGCAAGGCACCACTCCAAGGTCTTGGCCCTTGGCAGATGGACTGGCTGGATCCTTCCATCTGCCCAAGAAGGCTGGTCATATTAACCAAAACCCATTTGGTAGGGTTGACTGCTGAGGCTAGTTAGGAACCCCAACCAGTGTTTGCTCAGGACAGGAGAGTTGACAAAACACATTCACACCTCAGAATCTTGTGCAACTGCCCCGTGGCCTAGTGCTCTTACCTAGGAGAAGAGTGGGTGTCGAGAAAGCTGGAGGCATGCTGGTCCACTGCTGGTGTTCAGAGTGTGCGAGTCAGTTTAATCAGTCTCTTGGAGGGCTTGGCTTTGCTGTTGGCATTTTCCTGCCAAGCAGACAGGCTCAGAGAAGGGAAGTGACCTGTCCAAGGTTGCACAGCTAAGAAGGGTAGAAGCCGGAGTAGAAAGGAGAAGGTGGACTCAGAGAGAGTGTAGACTCCATGTAAACACCTAAAGAATGTTTCCTCCTCTCCTGAAGTCCTGTTCAGACCTCCCTGGGACTGTTTTGTCCTCGTCTCTGAGACATTATCTGTCCAGTTATCTTTTTCCCATTTATTTGACAAGCATTTATTGAACACCTGCTATGTGCAGGACCTATGCTGGGTGCTGGGGACATGCGGTGACCAAGGTGGAGGTGACAGTTTATAAGAAGAGACAGACTAAGTGTCCAGTAGCAGGCACAACATAATGGCAGGTGGGGACAAGGGCTCCGAAGGAAGGAAGCGGGGCAGGAAGGGCTGGGGAGGTCCAGGAAGGCCTCTCCTGGGGGCTGGCATCTGAGCCGAAGCTGATTGAGGTGCGAAGGGGGAGGAGCCTTGGTTTAACGAGCGCTCAGTCCTCACCAGGTGTCACTGTGTGTGTTTTATGTGCCTTTATCCTCACAATAATCCAGTGACATGGGTACTGTTCATCGTCTCTCTTTCCTAGTTGGGGAAACTGAGGCACAGAGAGACAAAGTCACTGTCTCAACAGCTGGTGAGTGACTGATGTGAGATTTGAATTCACACATTATATTTGAACTTGAGAGGCCTCCGTCTCCTGCCTGCCCCCGTAGCCCTAAACCTCTCATTCTGTCCCTGTCCTTCCTTTTGTCCTTTCTTTACCCTGGCTGACCTCCTGGGTGACTCGTGGTAGAGTCCCAGCGGCCCCAGCTGGCTGTCTGCCCCTCATGGGGGGTTCTCAACTTCGCAGTGGCTGTGGTCATATGCAGGGGGTGAGGGAGGCCAGGATGGGCTGAGGAACGGGGGTGGGGGTTCTGAGGTCCAGACTGTTGGAGTTTGAACCTCTCCTGGGTGTCCTCCGAAGCCAAGAGGTAGCAGTCCCATTTCAAAGAGCGGGGACCTGAGGCGTTGAGAAGGAATGTCACTAGCCCACCAAGCAGAGAAGTTGGAACTGGAATCCATCTCTGTCCTAGCCTGAGGCTGAGCCGCTTTCCTGTCTGCCAGTCTCTGCTTTGTTGGGGAACAGACGGGCAAACCGCGATTTTAATACCCCTGGAAGGGGAGGACGGTGGGAGGAGCTTGGAGCTTTGTTCTTCACTTACTGGGTGACCTTGGGCAAGATGCTGGGCTAATTTGGGCCTGGGCTTCCTCACCTGTGAACAAAGAGCAGTACCGTATCCA